GTCAGCCCTGAAATAATTTACATGTAAGCAACACTAGATGGACTGAAGGTCATATATATGTGTGTAACAATAGTAATTTAAAAGAGAAAGCCAGGGATTTTAGAGGGAGTGGGAGGCCTGGGAAGAGTTGGAGAAAGGAAAGGAAATAGGAAGTTATGTAACTATATTTTAATTAAAATTAGAAATGTTGAATCAAAAAGAGAGGAAGGATGAGAAGAAGAAAAAAACAATTTTAGGGAAAGATATACAGCACTTTAGCTTAAGTGTGGAGTTAATGGATGTTATTGGTAATGAGCTTTATTCATCCTTCTTGGTAGAAACTTTTATGATTATCTCGCATTGAAGCTAACAAATGCTTTGTATTCATCTATTTAAATAGTCAAGTAATTTTCTCTTTTATTTTGTTGTTAAGACTAAAACTATTATTGCCTTTTGAATTTCAAAAATTCCTACTGAAAGGTCTCAAGTTCTCAGTTCAGGGGGGACACTGAGATGAATTGTCAGGGGAAATAAATTTATTAGAAGAATTATTAACACAATGGCCAGACACTTAACAGCATGACAGGGGGGTTGAAGAAAGGAATCAGGACACTTAAAGAAATGGGGTATCATCTCATAGCTCTGAGTAAGTGGTTTTATAGAAGGAACCTTTAGGTAGACTCTCTGATTCCCAAGCAATAAGATGGGAAGGGTGTGGGGAGCAGGATTTGTGGCCTCAATAACCCCTTTGCTGCAAACTTACTTCCACAGTTGAGAAATCCTGGTGCCTGGACATCTGTTAGCTAGAGGTTCATAGACATTGGACCTGGTAGGTTTCTGACAGTATCTGTAAGAGGAGAAGGGCCCACCTCAGGTATTGTGGCCTGAGCAGGAATCTGGTCTGGATTCTAACATTACATTCAACCAACATTAAACCATCACATCCAACTAACATTATGTCAAAACAAAATCTTTGGAATCAGATTAATCAGTCATGCGGCATTGTACTTCTTGTATATTATTAGATTCAGTATCTAAGTTTTAAGAATGCTGGTATCTATCAGGGCATGGTAGAAGATGCCTATTATCCCAGCACTTGAGAGGTTGAGGCAGGATAATAAAGGCCATGATGGATTGTGTAGTGATACCCTGCCCACACAATTGTCTCAGCCTGTATTCATACACAGTGGGCTGTCAATATCTGTTTTCTCACTGTGGTGTCTTTGACTTTGTTGCAAGTACTGCAGAAAAATAAATTGGAAATGATTCCTTTACTTTCCAAAAGTTAAATTCAATATTGATAGTATTTCTATCTTACACGTTTGGTAGAATTATAGGTGAATCTACATAGAAGGGTAGCTTTCTTAGTTTAAAAACATTAATGAATGCACACACATACACACATATTTACATATAAAAACATTGACAAATATATAAAACACCACTAACCACCATTGTATTATTATATACTGTATATTACTATACATGTATTACTAATCTGATACAATATCACCTCCTGAGTCAGTCTTGGTGACGTTTATCAAGTACTACGTATATTGATTTATTTAACTTGCTCACTTAAAGTTGACAATTATATTTTCCTGATATCTGTAGAATTTGTAGTGATCTCTCTCTTTCATTCCAATTTTGGTAATCTCATTTAAGTCATAATGGGGGCAATATTGTTTATATTTTCCACCTACTGACCTGCTTGCTGTCAATTTACAGCTGTAATTGTAAATCTGTCTAACATTATATCATTTACTTATTTTGAGATTTTATTAGTGCATATTTCTTTAAAACTACCATGTTGTTTCCATGAATTGACCTTTTAATCATCATTGAATGGCCCTACTTACTTGGTAATAAAAAAAATAAATGGCCTCAAATATCTGTGAGCTTGGTATCTCTAGTCCTAAAAGTCTGAGTTGAAAGTGATTTCTTTTAAAATAGCATCTGTACTGAACAGAAACAAGTTCTTTTCTCTTTACTCCCTCAACAATACAGTGTGATAGCTTTTTACATAGCATCTATATTGTGTTAGGTCTTATCAGTAATCCGAGGTGATTGAAAGCTTGTGAAAAAGGAGGGGGAATAAGGTGTACGCAAATACTGTGCCATTTTATCTGAGAGGCTGAGTCTATGTGGGCTCTGGAGAGTCCCTGCAGACATCCAGGCACAGCTGTGTCCTTGTTATAAAGGCCACTGTCGGGTAGCACCTTGTGCTTCTTTTGTTGAATGTGTGTGTGTGTGTGTGTGTGTGTGTGTGTGTGTGTGTGTGTGTGTGTATACATGCCCCAGCTTAATACTGTCTTCCTTGATTAACAACCACTTCATTCATTGAGGCAGTTCCTCAATTAAACCTAGAGCTTACTTGTCTAGTCTCGCTAGCCAGCTTGCTCCAGGGATTCCTTCTCTTTGCCTTCAGAGTACTGCAACTATAGAACTATAGGGATCATCCTACTCTAGAGATCTAAGCTTAGTTCCACACACTTACACAGCAAGTGTTTCACTCTCAGCCATCCACCCAGATCCTCCATTGGCCATTTGGCCTTCAGTTGAGGGTGAGTACAAAGCATTCATTCCGGGCTCTTGTTATTCTGAATTTGAAAGTTGAGTCCAGAGTCACTTTTGGCACTTAGACATTTTCTAGCAATTTGCTTTACTGAGCTTCTATTTATTCATCTGTTAAATGCCAAGCCAGAGCAAACTAAGGGAACATAAGAAGGAAAAAGACCTCTTACGCCAGGATCCGGTTTGTATTTGGAAAAAATTGTTAACATAATTGACAAAATTAAGGATGCTGACAGAGAGAGACACTACTCCTTTTGCCAAGAGACATCTCCAACAAAGGTGGTGAAGAACAAATGAACTGAGCTTGTTTATGATCAGAGTAATGTGACCTCAACACCCTCTTTCTTTCATACACCTGAACAGAGCATCTCATGAGGCCACATCACACTTCATTTACAAAGGGAAATACTTGTAGATATGAGAAATAAGTAAACCAACTTATATTTTACTTCATTCTAACACTTTACTTAATTTTCACAATTTGCTTACTCTTTGAATGTGGTTGCAAACTGCATTTTAAGTAAATTTAACTCCAAGAGACACATGCACACAGTGTAGCCATTGTCAGGATAAGTAAGGGTTGGCCTCACTCTTGAGAAGTCTACACCATCTCAGCGACATACTTCAATCCTTCACTGTACAGAAGACCTCTTTCCTTGTCCACATGTACCTCAGGCATATACTGCCTCTCAAGTCTGTATCATAAACTCACTAATTCTGCTCCACTTTTTCCTAAAGTTCTTTTCTGCAGGTCATTGATGACCTGGCTTTCTACAAGGTGGGGTAGAATAATATCACACATGTTGTAAATGCACAATTAGCTGGTGTGTATTAGTGTTACCAGGCCCAGAACTGAGTACCCTGAGTGCAATGGGAATGAATGCTTTTAAAGGTGTCCATAGGTTATGTTTTTTATCTTAATTGCTTCTCTTTATCTGTGATAAAACACCGTGGCCAAGGCAACCTGTAAAAGAAAGTTTCAGAGGGTTCAAATCCATTGTGGTGGAGTGAAGAAAGTGTTGAGAGATCACATCTTGATCTACAACTACAAAGTGGAGGGAGGGGAGAGAGAGAGAGAGAGAGAGAGAGAGAGAGAGAGAGAGAGAGAGAGAGAGAGAGAGAGAGAGAGAGAGAGAGAGAGAGAGAGAGAATATGTATGAGCCTACAGAGGCCATTCGTATTCAAACTACCACACTTATTTCTGAGTCTAATCCTTTTTTCATCCCCAATCTAAAGTTATTTAAGTCCCATCTGTAGACACAGCCTGCAATATGAAACCTATCCTGACCCTTAAGATGAAAATCTTCGGAGGATTCTGGCTATGTCTAGCTCTCATGCACATCCATTTAAACAAACTAGCAAGATACCTGCCTTTGCTTCTGGCATTCAAAGCTCCTTTCGTTATTAGATGTTCCTCACCCCTCCTAGATTTTTAAGGTGAGCTCTGGTGAACTTCAGAATGGGTGTAACCTCCTGGTACTCCCTTATAATTAATGTCTGTAATTAGCAGACACACTGCAGAGATTTGCTGCACAATAAGCCACACATGGACATAACTAGTTTGGAGGCCTCCAGGACCTGGGAGTCAGGAACTGATAAAGGGGTCTAAGAGGGTTAATGAGGCATGTAAGGATTAGGTGATTAAGGGACACACGTTCTTCTGGAAACTGTCACATCAGGGCTTCTTCCCAGTCCTGTGTCTTGTAACACAAATTTCTTGATGGGAGATGATGTTCATTCCCCCATGCTTTGGGTTTCTATCTTGGGGGACCTCTGAGGAGGGCAGAGATTTTCTCCTCATTTACTTGTATCTGCATTTTTATAGATAAATCTTTATCAGCAGGTTTGGCACTGTATCACTGAGCTACACTCCCAAAGCAGCAAGGTGCCCTAAGGTGGTGTTTTGACAGCATTCCCGGATAGTCTATACTGTTGAAGGAGGAAGGAAGCTTCCTTCTTCCATGAGTCTCTCTGGTTTTATTTCTCTGAATCAGTCAGGAAAGCAACCATGCAGAAGGTATTAAGTAAATCATGGGAATTCATTAAATTTTTGCTGGATGGATGAATCTTTTATTCAAAATACTAATTATTATTAATAGTTTTAATAGTTGTGGTTCACACTGGAGTTCCTGTGGACTCCTGTTCATTGGTTTGGCTAATGAATGGGGATGAGGACAAATCCCATGCACCAGAGGGATGTTAGATAGTTCAGATATGGAAAAGAACCAGCTCTACTGGATGCATTGCAGGAAATGTTTTTTTTTAATATTTTACTGATTTTGCATCTTTGATATAATTGATTAATGATATAATTGCATTAGAATATGGCAAGGGATGAAGGAAACCCTTAAGCCATAAGTTGTCCTGTCTACGTATGAGGGATCAAAGTGACCAGCTGTGTGGTTTTGCTCATCTAATTGTTCATGGAGGACTGTATCCTGACTCACCATTATTTGAGATTAGGCTGGCTCCAATGTATCCTGAAGGACATTTCTCTTCTCAAGGCTTGAAATTCCAGACTCACACTTCTATATTTTGAAAGTTAGAGAAACCCACACCTGGAATACAAAACAGGAAAGAACAAGATAACTCTACTGGTTAATGTTCTCATTGCAACTGGTAGGATAAAGCTCGAGGGGGTCTTATGTGGGGAACCTTGGCATATTCCCTGACAGGCAAGGGTGACTGAGGTGGAGGGACAAACACACCAGGTAGATAGAGCTTAAGTGACAAGTTTTATTAGAAAGCAGAGGGAGGAGGGAGGAAAGAGAAAAGAAGTAAAGAGACACAGAGACAGAGAGAGGACAGAAGAGAAGAGGGAGACAGGAAAAGTCCTGTCTGCCCCGGGGGAACAGCGGGAAGAGAGTGTAAGTGGGCGGGTCTGTCTTTTAAAGGGGTCCTAGATTACACAATTATGGGCTGACCGGGGTGGTGCCTGAGTGCATTCTGCCAGGTGACAGGGGAAGGACAGCACAATGCCTCAATCCTTACAGCAACTGAATATCAGACAAGAAGCATTGCTCTATTTCAGCTCAACATAATGGAAACTTGCATGTGACTTGTTACACTATCTCATATCAGGTAGCAAAGAAAGGGACTGGGCTGGAACCAGAGCCAGCAATAACCTATAAGCTCATCCCTAGTGACACACTATGGCCAACCATCCCAAAACTCCAATGTTCCTCAACCTCCCCTAACAGCTGGGAACCAAAGTGTTCAAACGCAGGCGCCTGGGGTTACAATGACAGACACCTATGGGTCTGGAGGTTTAGCTCTCATTTTCTTCTTTATTTCCAGTTGTTCTTGAAGATAATAATTATCATCACAGTTTCTGATGTCCCCTGTTACTTTCTGTAGCATTGAGCTCTGCATCTTGTGCTGCCCACCAGTAAGAAGGGAATGGTTGACATTTGTGGCAATCCTGTGAGATGCATTTGAAGACCCCCAAACACTGCACTGCCTGAAAATATCAGTATCATGCCAGAAATGTCTGCTGTGAGGAACCTTGATTGTTCATGTTGTGGGGACATTTGAAAGCCAGAAACCTGGAAGACTGGTCCCATCAGAGAACTTGCCCTGCCACTGTCCCACCCCAACTCATCATAACTGATGGAAAGCCTTCAGTCTACCCGCCCCTGGCAAGGCTTCCTGCAGTGGCAGGAAGAGCTCATGTGCACAAGGAAACGCTAGGTACAGCATAGCTGTATGGCATTGTGTAAAACACACCAGGGTTAAGGCTCTTCCTTCTACCAAGTAAGCCTGGGGCTGAGTGCTCCAAGATGGGCCAGTGATGTCCAAAGGCATGGTCTACAGAGTGAGTGGAAAGTCATTATTCTGTGCTTTCAAGTATGCTTCTTTCTGTGAACTACTTGTGGCGGTTTAGCCACTGATACATGGTTCATGTGACAGGATAACCTTTATCTTTGCTCAGTGTACATTAGTTTACAAAGCTGCACACAGCTAGCAGCTGGAGGACAGGATGACACAAATGTGTCGTGGTGGTCGCGTCTCTTGTTGCTGTCACCAGCACCTTGTGGCACCTGCACCATGAACAAGTCTAACGTATCAGGTGAGAGCCTGGAGATTTAAATGAAAGACAAGACATCTAGCTGTTTGTGCTAAGAGTGCGTGTGTGTCTGTGTGTATGTGTGTGTTTATTGCAAAGAGGGAGGGAGCAGTCTTATGTACAGACTTACAGCACAGTGGAAAAACCCCAGGTATAAGAGTTCGTGTTTTCATAATTAGAGGTTGATACCAGTGGGGTAAGACCGGGGCTGGAAGCCAGAACTAGAAAACAGAATGTTCCTGTGGTTATCGGCTGACAAGCAACTCACAGAGAACCCCGTGGGGGGCTGGAGCTCAACACTACCTGACTAGTAGCCAGTTAAAGGAAGATGTATTTATTTCAGATCACAGTTTGAGGGAGGGGATGCAGTCCCTCATGGTGAGGAAGGCATGAATGGCGGGAAATGGCTCCATGGAGGTGGGAGCTTCCTCACATCTCAGAGGAGTTGGAGGCAAAGAATGATGAAGGCAGGTGCTCAGCTGGGTTTCTCTGGAACTTCCTCAAAGAACTGAAAGGCTAAAAGGCATGGGTCAGGAATGCCCTGTGTTTCTTAACCCAACTGAGTTGGCCATCAGCTCTGAAAAATAGGACGTGTTCACTCCACACTTCTGCACATTTTTGGCACCTGCTTGAGATTGTTTAACCTTGGATTCTACTCTTCCCCTGGCCAAGGCAGGAACCTTGCCTCAGACGCAGATCTAGTTGATACTGAGTCTTCTGCTGAGCCAAAGTACCTGATGCCTGTGCTGGGACGGCTATTTCTGTCCCCCATGATGGGTTTATCCTGTTTACCCAGTTATTTGTAGGAGCAAACCTCACTGCTCTCCTTGCCTATAATCCCTACTTCTTTACCAGCTGTTTTGCTCTTACTCAAAGTTCATTTTTCTTTTGCCTCCTGGACTGAGTTTTGTCTCTCTCCCCTCCAAAATAAGAACTGGAATCCCCAACCAAGCTGCAGATCAAGCTACAGTGTTCTTATGGGTTTGACTCCTCCTGAGTATCCTGTATCTCAGACCAAAGAAACGACTCCACCCAAGCTTGGTTTAGTGAACCAGTGAGTTTGCTGGGATTATAGGAGAATAAGGGTCAGGGGTTATAGGAGCATAGATGACTCAGAGGCAGACGTGTTACCAAAATCCCCACTCTACCACGGGTGCCAACTCACAAGAGCCACGTCCCTGGAGCCCACAGTATGACTTGCAGGCAGCTTGGCTGGGAAGAGTCACCTCTCTCCCACCATCAACACTGTTTATGTGATCCTGTTTCCAGAGCATCTGGAGACTTAAGGATTTTGTTTGCTTCTTCATCCTTGCAAGTTTCTTTCCTTTTCTGAGTTTTAAAAGCTTCCTTATATGAAGATGGAAGGTTTCAAAGTAGATGAAATACCTACACAATGGAGGTTTGCTGGCTGCCAGACTGCTATGGACTCCCTAAAATATAGATTAAGTCCACAGCTCAACAAGAGGCTAATGGAGTCCTGTGTGCGTCTCCTCTCATCCCTGTATACGTCTTAACTCCAGCCTAGGTCCGAGTCCCTAATCGCACAGGGTTTCTTCTTCCTCCTGCTCTCACTAGCAGTAGCTGCCCTAACCCTAACCTTCCCTGTAATCAAGCTTCTGGATGCATGGGAACCCTCAATGCTATGTGTCCCTGGGATTCTTGGAGCACACTTTTAGGCTGTGCTGATGTCTGACATTTGGTGGCCTGTGATATGTGATTCAGCTACAAAAAGCCCCAGTTCCTTGTCCCAAGGACTTTCTGAGACTGACTGTTTCAGCATTTGGAATGTCTGTGACATTGAGTTGATAAAGGTCACCTGTGGAGACAAAAGTGACTCATCTGATGCCTGGAAGACACTGACGAGCTCATTATGGTAAGATGCCTGCCGAGGCTGTGCCCCCTCCATGGAGATGAAGCTCACGTGTGTTCGCAGCACTAATGATCCACTTGTGCCCAAATCCTTCCTCTTGATGGTTTGTCACCAAGGCTGTCCTGTCCTGTAAAGCCGCGTGACAGAAAGCTGTTGACAGAGTATTAGAAAGAGCTCAGATCTTTAAAACCAGGGATATGACAGTGAATCTTTTCAGTTTCCCAGTCTCCAAGGTCTGTGTCCTCTAACACGATTCCATTAAATCATAAAGATTAGAGCTTGTCAGGCCCTCTGTGTCCCTTTCCTCTGATTTGCAAAAATGAATGGAGGATTTGCTATTAATTTTTGTTGTTGCAGCTACAGAGCAAGCACCATTAACTATAGCTAAGCCATTAACCTGATTGGTATTAATCAGAAGTGTCCCAGGAGCCACAGCCATTGGAGAGGCCTGGGATGTTTTTCAGTAAAGGGGCTTTGTGGAATCAAATGAGAATTGATTGATGACCCAGAGTGTGTATCCACAGGAGGAACTGGCCACACTCTGGGTGCCTCACCTTAATGAAACTGCTGCCGGTCTCTGCATGCAAAGAAGGCAAGGGAGTGCAATGGCCATTTCCAAAGCCACTTGGCCTGGTGGACCACTCCACAGTGGGACTGAGCAGTACCGGCATGCTTACTGTTTCAACCAGTTCTTCCTGAGACCAGTGTTGTACATTTTTGAGGTAGAGAGAGAAACAATGTCCTGGTGTGTGTGTGTGTGTGTGTGTGTGTGTGTGTGTGTGCACTGAACAGGCTCATAGGTAACCACCTATGATGATGAGTGATATCCTGGGTGTTTTTGAGGAAGACTTTGGTTCAGATATGCTATTAAGTTCAATACCTCCCATAGACTCTGCGGTCCAGTCCCTTGCAGAGCCCATGCACATGTCTGAAACAGATGGCAGTGAACACAAAATCCCTAGCCAAGGCACAGGAGCAAAGTCAAGGAGTCCACCAGGGCATTAAACTCATGACCTTGAAGTCTCTGGCATTGCCCTGCAATTTACTGAGCTAACCAGACACAGATGCTTCGGACAGCAGAGTGAGCTCCACAGAGAGTGCCAAACCCAAACCTGTTCCTCACTGCTTGCCAAGTTCTCTTACTTACTGCACTACCCTCTCAAGAAGTTCCCCCTTTGCAATTTTTCTAAAATCTGTCCTGTCTATACCACCTAATAAACTTAAGACAACCATCCTGATTATTAAATAACATGTATACTCACAGCACTGCACAAAATGTTATTTCCTGTGAGAGATATTTTTGAGTTTGAAAAATAAAATTAAGCTAGCAAAAGGTTTCCAATAACTTAGTACTTGCTAATCTGTCCTTTTCTGTTTTAATCCCTGTTAATCTGCCTTTTCCCATATTACTCAGACACAGACAGCAATAACCCGGAGGGGACCCACACACAAGGTCAAGCCTCCCCTCACACTGCCTCTTGTAAGCTCCACAAGACATTTGAGGGTTTAGTGTTGGTTACTTTCCATTTCAGAAAAAAAAGACTTGAGAAAACACACAGTAGTAGATTACATGGTATATGGAAACACATGCTTTCCCAACTGCCGTGTCAAAGCCAAGATTCATGAAAACCCAGGGGAGGCACAAAGATGCAGAGGAAAAGACAACATAACAGGTAGTAGGTTTCATAAACATCATGCCATGCAAACCAGAAGATTCTTCAGAGTGGTTACAGGTATGTCAGACCTTGTACCTGCAGCTGAGTTGACAATCACCACATTCTCACACAACACCCACTGCAGAGAGTACACAGTCATGATGACTCCAAGGAGGAAATGAAAGCATGCCAAGGTGACTCTTAAAAAGACAGAAAGGCTATCGACAGGAGGGATTAGGTCTTCACAGAGGAAATCTGAGTGGGGGGTTGGTTGACTGAAGATGGCCATGGTCTTCAGTGTTGATGATAACAGGCCATACTAACAGCTACTGTCCAATTCTCACACAATTAACTGCCACATGCAGGTTATGGTTCCTAAGTTCAGGTTTCAACCTTTAAGCTGCATGCCATCTCCATGGAAGACACAGGGAGTTTTTTGTTTTGTTTTGTTTTTGTTTCTTATTACCTAATGTTCATAACATAGGGTACATAGGGCACAGAGACTATTGTGCCAAACAGTTTCAAAAAATATTTAATTAAGCTGTTAATTGATGAAAAGACATAAAGTAGCAGGCATTTTGTGTATTCTATGTCTCTCTGGTTTTCATTTAACATCTTCCATCCTTGACCCCATGGTTAGGATAGGCAGAGGCAGCAGTTGCTATAACATGGAGGTTACATGACCTTGACCAAAGCAGAAGGTGACTTGGATGAGAGTACCAATCCAATTGGGCAAATAGAATTCTTCCCTTTGGGAAACAAAACTGAGATTATACTCATCTGGTCTGTCTTAACTCTTCATTGGTAAGTTTTAATATCAGGTGGTGTGTGTGTGTGTGTGTGTGTGTGTGTGTGTATGTGTGTATGTGTGTGTGTATGTTTGTTGTTGAGAACATTGTTGTGCACTGAAGAGAGGGGAGTTGATCATTTGCGGGAACTAGAGAAGGTAGATTCACAAATTCAGGGAAAAAGAACTGAGAGACACAGGGGGATGCCAAAGATCTACTCACTCCATTTATGTAATGAATTTCCTTGTAAAATGCCTATACTTTTTATGATATGCACCATCTTTCTGCATAAGCTCATTTACAGGAGGATTTTTTTAATTGTTAGCTGTGAGTGCACTGTAGTATCTGATAGGCAAGGAATGGCCATTTACTAATTCAATAAATGCTTGCTGAGGATGTGTGACATGCCAGGTACTGTTACAGGGGACAGAGACACAGTAGAACAAAACTGACAGAATTCTCTGGTTCTCCTACACCAAACCTTCCCAGAGAAATATGTAGTCTTGATAGGGATTCCATGCCCACGTATGTTAGTCTGATTGTTTTCAGACACTTTGGGCTAAACGAACATGGCAAAAAGGCTTAGTCTAAAGGAGAAGCCCTCAGATCCTACCATTTGATAGACAGAACATTCCACACAGACTCAAGCTATGTTTCTGAAACTCTAGCAACTTTACAGTTACCTAGAAACCTTAAACCATAGCTTCTCCCAACCCTGAGCTTCTCACTCAAATAAACTGAGATAGACTTTGAGGGCATGCATCTCTATCAGTCTCCCAGGTGGCATTGCAAATCCTAGGATGCTCTTCAGTTATCCACAGTGTAGGGAATATGTGAGCCTAGGTCACTTAGTGAATCCTAACATCTGTTTACAAAATTAGCATCTGTCCTTCACAAACGCCACCCCCCCAACAAAAAGGAGAACACCCAAATGTCCATCAAACTATACATTTAAAGAGGCGGTATTGCAATACAATGGAATAATATTTAACTTTAAAAAAGCATGAGATACAGTTCCAAGCTACAACACAGATGAACCTCAATGATATGGTGCTAAGTAAAAGAACCCATTCACAAAAAGTGCATATGGCATGTCTACAACAATCAAATCCTTAGATGAAGACTGGTCTTGGTCAGGGGGCATAGGAGAGAAAGCTGTGGAGTCTCTGGCAACAGATATCTTATAGAATGATGACAATGTCTCAAACTGAATAGTAGTGACGTCCAATTTCTTTCCTAATGCATCATTAGGTTGATGGTAAAGACTCCTCCAGCCTCCAGCAGTAGACAGATTAATTAGAGAGAAGCATACAGGTCTTCTTAATGAATTCCCTATGACTAAAGTTTTCAGAAATGAAGACCCAAAGTAACAGGGAAATCTGTAGTTACCCTACAGAAGTCTCACTATCATGGGGAGGTGAGACAGAAGGAAGGCATCACGAGAAACTGAGAGAGTAGTACTCTCACATAAGACAGAGATGGAAGAGCCAATAGTCTCTAATGTAACTTTACATTTTTTAACCACTGTGAAAATCTGCTTTGGTATCTGAGAGTGTGAAAACCTGCCACACTCAATCCTCAAATAGGCTTATAATCTCTCAGGGGCTATAATAACTTCCATGAGGCCACACAACTAGAAAAGAAAGATGGGAACAAGCATGAAGCCCAGGAAACAGACCCTCAAGGCTACTACTCTCCCCACATCCTGCCTCACAGAGATCCAATATGTATTTGTTTATGTCTCTTAAAATTATACTTTTAGGATGGGGAGATGTTTACATTTGTAAGCTTCGTCCCCAGCATCAATACAAAAAACTGAGGCTGGCAGTAGGTGTCTATCATCCCAGTGCTGGGGAAGATCTCTGGGGATTGATGGCCAGATAGCCTAACTGAATTGATAAGCTCTGGGGCAATAAGAGAGTTTGTCTCAAAGACTAAAGTGTAAAGTAATCAAGAGAAATAGCTCTCATCTACCTTTGCCCTCCAGACAGATATACACACATGTGTACAAGTGCCTACACACATGCACACACACACACACACATGCAAGCACATATGCAAACACAAACATAAATACATAGATTGTTGTTTTGGTTGTCAGTTCTTTAATATTTAAAAATTTTCCTTCCTGTTCTAGAAGTAAAACAAAAATGCATGGCAAAAGCAGCTAAAAAGTGGAGGTCTAGCATTAGCCACCCCACCTGACAGCCCGTCATTAGTGATCCCCCTAACATCTAGAGCCTAGCTTCTCTTGACTATGTTTGGGTACCAGGTGGATCCTTGCCAGGATGGAGGATGGGCCCAGGTCACTCCATGGCCACTCCTCAAGGATGCAAGCCCTGTCTCATCTTATCCAGAGACATTAAAGAAAGCTGCTAAGTGTTGCACATCAAATTGATTTCATGCCAAGATTTTACTCAACCACAGGTGATAACCATTGATGTGTCAAAGCCTTACAAGAAGCATAAACACATCTGATGCAAAGAGCCCTTGTTTTTTAATGACATGTCGAATTACGCACCTTCCCTTAGATCTGACATCGGTTGGGGCTATTTGCTGGGAAGCAGAAATGAAACACATAAGGTCTCAAATTGGATTGGCAGAAAAGTCAGAGGACATTAGATTCAGAGATGACCATATATGTAGAGTTCTGGGGACTCTCTCTCTCTCTCTCTCTCTCTCTCTCTCTCTCTCTCTCTCTCTCTCT